GGGGGGGGAGAAAGAGGTGGTGGGGAATGGGAGGGTGTGAGACAGTGTTGAATAATATTTTCAAAAATGGTTTTATTTTTCTTAAATGTACTCATTGCAGGGATTTTTTTTCGAAAATTGTACTGATTGTACGGATTTTTTCGAAAATTGTACGGATTTTTAAAAAAATGTATGGATTTGTTTAAAAAAATGTACGGATTGTACGGATTTTTTTTTCAAAAATTGTACGGATTGTACGGATTTCCTCTGAAAATGTACGGATTTTTGTACGGATTTTTTCAAAAAAGTTTTGGCCACCCTGAAACTTGTAAACTTCTATACAATGTTCAGGTTGCTAGTATGCACAGCTGTCTACAGAATGGGATAAAGCATCTGAAATCAAAAGAATTTTCTGAGGCTATTAGTTGCTTTTCAGATGGGCTAGCTTTAGGCAGGATATTAAAGACGACATAGATATTTTAAAAAAACATTAGACAAGACAATGGGGTCTATTAAATGTTCATGGATTTTTTCCTTTTTATTTTGTATTGATAAAATATCAACGGTCTACTTCTTAAAATATTAAGTTTGATGCATTAATTATTTGTAAGATAAAGAAGTAAAAAAGTTAAAATTTTTCGCGAAATTATTTTAGTTTTTTTTACAATTAAAATATGCTATAACATTTGACATCATGAGTTATTGCCCTAGAAAATGTCAGAAATTCTTTTTTAACAAGTTTAAGGTTGTTTTTATACGTCTTAATTTCTAAGTTTTAAATCCCATTCCAGGAGAGGAGAATTCAAAGTACAAACTCGAGATATTTAAGCAAAGGTGAGAGCAATCATTTCGAATATCTTAAAGTTGAAGTCATTCGTTAAATGTGACCATTATCTTAAAATAGGTCATTGTAAAATAAAAAACCTTATTTTGGTCCGGAATTTGTAAATTCATTTCGGGATTCAAGTGTGGGGGTATTTGTCTGATCTGGGAGCTGACATTTTGTACCTTTTAATTAATTATCATAACCTTCATAACAACAGTTCTGCTGTACTTTAACCTGATATTTGTCCAGGAGTACAGTGTTCTCTAAACTAAACGACTATAGTTCTGTTGTACTTTAACCTGATATTTGTCCAGGAGTACAGTGTTCTCTAAACTAAAAAACTATAGTTCTACTGACTTAAACCTGATATTTGTCCAGGAGTACGGTGTTCTCTAAACTAAACGACTATAGTTCTGCTGTACTGGATTTAACCAGCGCTTTACAAATAAGTCCCAAAGATATAAAGGTAGGTTTAAAAGCTAAAGGGGATGGTGGAGTTGGCACATTTGATGTAGGGGGGGGGGGGCCTTGCCTTCATTTTTGGTTCAAATCTTCCAATTTTTTGG